GACGGTTTTGGGGACAGTTTATCGGGGATTCATTAGATGACCTCGGGGAATTAAATTTCAGGAACAATATATGATAAGCTGGGCAGTCTTTAAAGAAGACTTTGTAGTTCCTGGATCCTATAATCCTAGTAATAAAAGAACTGTTATGATGTATTTACGGCTTAGAAATTGAACTCTTAAAACGAAAGGGGAATTAAAAATGTTTGCTGACCCGCTTCAATTGAAGTAGGTTAGGTAATAACCGGTGATGATTGAACCTCTTTTTCACCATGTTTTTCCAACAAAGAGTAAGAAAAAGCAAAACAGAAATCATGTTACAACATTTATTTTACACGCCACTGGCGGTATATATAGAAAAGAAAACGGAAAGCAGCTAACCAACCTAAACTAACGTAATTTTGTTGCTAGCCAACCAACAAACTTACTCATACACATCTAAGTATTCACATTTCCACACATTTTAGATGGAGACAGCGAATGTAACGTAAAACAAACTTTTTGTATTACTTTTTATTATTTAATAGCCGAGGTGGTATGGAGAATGGGGGGATGGTGAGGCGGGGGCCACGGGGATAACCTAAATTCACAGTTAGAAACGAGAACAACAAGCAACATAACGTAGGCCACCCTGCCAGTGTTGCCACCTGCCACCCATTTAGGGGGCATTACAGTCGAACTTCCCTAGGAAAAACTAGCATTGTTGGAATATATCTATATTTTATCTTAAACATAGTTTTAAATCAGAAGATATTAAATATCCTAAAATGGAATTCATGAATAAGTAAATTATAAAACAATTGGTAGAACAAAATTAGTTTTAAGCCTGCAAAATGATTACATAATCTTAGTTATTATAGCATATTACAATTGTCTTATGAACTATGTGCAAATTTTTGTTTTTCCATCTTTTCCATCGAGGTAATGATTTCTGATTGGCTGTTTTAGTTAGGAAACTCTACTTTATCGAATGGGGAGAGAGGGGGGAACTGCAGAAAGAAAGCCAAGTTGCGTGCGGCAAAAAAGTAGCTCCAATAATAACAGAAGAAAAGCGTTGATGAAAAGCTAACGAAAGCGAGAGGATAACTGAGGGCGGTGGTCTGGGTTGGGTGACCAGTAGCAGCAGCTGTGGGGCCACATAAAAGCAAGGACAAATTGCGGATTTAGCAAAAATAATGTGAATGTAAGAGCGAACACACCGAAATAAAAAAGCAAAGCACAAGTGACCCATCAAACATCCGCACATACACCACGCACTACTTACCGGTGACGTCATTAGGCTGTTGTCGACTGTCAATCGCTGGCTTTTCTATTTTTCTTCTTTTTTTTTTGCTCTACAAGTGAGTGAATGGGTGAGACTGCGTGGGGGTGTTTCGCTCTATGTGAGCCATAGAAAAGACCCCGAACACATTGCTCTCTATGAAAGAAAAAACGATGGCCTAAAGACCCTTTAGGCATTAAAAAATTAAGCTCTTTAGGTGGTTTTATAGTAAAAATTCAATTTAGTAGAATGCATACATGTTCAGCCCACTTTATCAATTTTACTTAAGTTTTATTTACCTTAATGTTAGGTGCTCTTACACTTCTAGCTACTACTAAAACATCTTATAAATTCAACAAGCACTTTAATCAGTTAATCTTATTCAAAATGACTTGGCTAATTTTGTTTTAACATACTTTACTTACTAACCGTACGATAATTATGACCAACTCTTTGAAGAATTAATATAATTATTAGCAATTGATAAGAAATCTGCGGTTATATCAGGGAAACTTTGTTCTTTAGAAAACGCTGCTCTTTCATTTTGCAATTTAGCCAAATGAAGAAGAAAGTACAAATGAAAATGCACAGAAAGAGCAACGTCAGCGAAAGCAGGAAAACAAAAACCAATAGTGTGAAAATTTCATCTAATTAAATTAGATGCTCGAGTCCCGTAAAGGAAAAGAGAGAATTGGAGAGGGGGAGTGCGCGTGGGTGAAAGTAAAAGCCTGTCAAACAAATCGATGGGATTTCACATACAAACAGCTGACACAAAGCTTTGACGGAGCCTCTTTTTCTCGCCCCTCTTTATTTTCACCGACATTTGCGGTTGGATCATTTTAAGCCTTTGGCAATGAATCATCAGGTAATTCTGTCAGATGGTCGGAAACCGGAATCAAGAGTGGGGTCCTTTGAAATTGGGACACAAAAAAAAAAACGGGGTCGAGTGGAGCTTAAACAAAGTTAAATATTTTCGTATATTTATACAATGTGGCACAACTCACCTTTATTACTACTCTGAAAACCAAGTGCTGTAAGCGGCGTTTAAACCTTCACATAAAACATGTTTAAAGGAATCTAGGCATCATCATTTGATTAAAAACCATGCTGCCATAAAATTCTTGTCAATTTTCTCACTTTTCAGCACTTGAAATTTCAAGAGCAGCGTCATGAAGAAAATGAAAAGGGACAAGTGCTGTTCAACTAACTCGGCTGGCTTAAGTTCGCCTTTATCTTTTATCTCGGCGCCCCTTGAGTCTCCCCCAGCGCTCTATTTGCGTTAATTTTTCATCTTTGTCTCTATCGCGGTGTCTGGAGTCGTGGAATTCCTTGAGCGGAGGGAAAAGCGAACAAGCAGATTAGACGTGGCTTTGGAGAGGAGCCTAACAAGTTGCTCAGGTCAAGTCGGTTTTTGTTTGAGTTCCTTTTGTTTCCACCACACTCATTGCGTTCTTTTCTGCGATTTTGCCGGGTATTTCTCGAGTGTCAGGAGTATATGGCAGGGAAAAACTTTTTATCCGGATACTCCTTCATTGTGAAATGTATATAATATTCGAGAAAAGTATATTACTGACTATAAGGCATTTTAACTGAAGTTTGTGGGCGAATCCATCAATCAATAATTTAAAAAAAAATTTCTAATATTTCCTCTTAGAGGTTAAGCTAGCATCCCATGTAAAATCTTAATAGGATCCCTTTAGTCAAAACCGTTAGTCATTATTTTTTGTGTTTGCTGAAGAATAGGCGACACTAAACTGTGTGTCCGAGAAAGATTTCAGTCATGTTTAATGAACCCAAAGAGTCGGCTTTGAACTCTTTCCCCTATCGCTCTGTCCTTCTCCTTCGCCTCAAGATTGTCTGTCGTGTATTTCTTCCACTTTATTGCTCTTGCGTACTGATAATTAAGCAGCAACTGGTTTTTCCTTATGCCATTGATTTGGTTTTGTGTTCGGCTCTTGTGTTTTCACTCATAATTGTTTTTAATTTTCGAAAACAAATAAATGTCGCTGGAACAGCAAACATAAATTACATTTTAATTAATTAATTGCCAGGCCACCAAAGAAAATAAAGACCAAAAGCAACAGTAAAACCTACATATATGTACACGGCCTGTGGATTCTACAGTCATCTCCCCGGCATTCGCCATCTCTGTCGCGCCCCTGCAATTGAGGTCAAATGCGTAGTCGCATATCAACTGCAGCAACCTCCGTGCGAGATGGAAATCGGAGAGAGGGAGCTCAATAACCCCAGAAACTCCAAGTTGTTGCTCGAGTTTTGCTGTTTCTTCATTTCGATAATTACACCACCAGTAGGGCCTATCGGGTTTAAAAAACACATTTGATTGAAGGTTAAATCACTTGAGAGCCTTAACTAAATATTTAATCATTTAATTATGACCGGCGGCGGTATCGATATCTTTGCATAGCAAGATAGTGTATTGTATGCTTAAGAAAATAAAGTTAAATATAATGATGTTTTTTAAAAAGTAGTCTGAAAAAGTTGAGAAAAAATGTTTAAAAAGGAAAACATTTGTTTATCTTGTTGAATAGGGCCGTTGAAATGCGTATATTTTTTCTGCAGATATTCACCCTATCAATCCCACTGTGCTAATTCCAGGGGATTTCTGTTAACAGACACTGTTATGGCAGCAGGCATACAGCTGTCTCGCTTATCGCCGTTTATGCATGGCACTGCTGTATGAGTCACTCCCTCGCGGACACCACCTCCTCATCCCCTTCAACCCCCCACCACCCTCTCGCTCGCTCTTACTGGTATTGGTAGCAAACTCCACAGTTGCGACTGCGCTCCAAAGAAATCTCCATTGAGGCAAAGCCATAGATCGCAACCTCTCTTTTGCCGGCTTGGTTAACTTATTCCGCTTCTCGTTCTCCGTGCTCCACTCTCCAATCTCAACCTCATTTGTGAGTGAGTGTGAGTGTGTTTGACAGGTGCGTTTTGTTTGTGTAACGAGTTTGCTTGCGATAGTTTCTCGGCCCGTGACGCATGAACGCTACTTGTCTCTGTCACTCGTCATTATCAGTTGGTAGCTCGCTCTCGCACCTCGCTGTTGTTGTTGTATCTCTCCCCTAAAGTGACAAGAACAAGAACAACATCCAGCAGCAGCGGCATGAACAATAATTACATACTAATACAAACTGCTCATTTGCCGCATTTTCACACGCTCACAAGTGTTTTACCTCGCTCCCTCTCTCTCGAGCATTGTCCTTCGCTCTTTCTCCTACACCGAGAGAAATTCAGCTGGATATCTTTTTCATATTCTCGATCGAATAGGTTTTTGGGCTCAGATAAGTGTTATTTTGGCAAGCCTTATTTAATTGGCTAGAGGTTTCCACACATTTATCTACTAACTAAAGACAAGGTTCGAATCCCACCATGATCCTATACTTTTATTGTATTTTTGCATTTAGTAAGTTTAAAATAGGTTAAAATATATTAATGATAAACTGCTTACAGTGCTGAAACCATTTTCTTGGTATCGCATAAACCTGTATCACTTGAATTGTTTAACGCTTCCATTTATTTTACAAAATCAAATTAGGAAGTACACTTAAGAGCACATAAACCTATTTTATTCGAGATTCACCGAATTGATCTTCACTTGTTATTTCGAATTTTCTCGCTGTGTGGGGGGTTCTCTCGCACTCTCTCTCTTTCTCTCCCGCTGCCTTTGCCATCGCGGGTTCTTTGTGCGGGGCTCATTTGATTTTCGATCGCTTGGCGCGGCAGTTGTCATTCCGTCTCCTCCTCCGCCGTACTTGTATTTTCGCAACTCTCTCGCAAATCTCGCGGTGCGCTGCGGGTGTGCACTGCAGTATAGTATATTTGTGAGAATTCGTGGTGTGTTGTTTTTTGTACGCGTTAATCGCTTTATCGCTGTGACGTTGAATAAATTGTGTTTGCTCCAGTTTCCTTTGGAAATGATTTTGAATGCAGTGCAGCCACGTTTTTCATGCGCTCTTGTTGCTTTCGTTCATGTGTGTGTGTGTGTGAGTGTGTGTCAAAAGTTGGAGAACAAAATAAATAATGGACCTGTGGAGCATAACAGAAAAGAGTTGTGCCTGTCAAACTGTTGCTAAACACCTCTGCTATCTGTATCTCTATCTCCTTTGACTTGACAGTCTGCCACAACTGGAAAATTATCTACCCTCTCTTCTCGCTCAGCTGTGTGCGTGTGCCTGTGTGTATCTTTTAGTTTTTTTAATCAGCTGTGTCTGTGCTTTATTTTTCCATCTTCTGCACAACTTTAACGAGCTTGGTTTTTTCCCCTTTCCTGTTGTTTTTTTTTTAATGTTAAGTACTATTCTTAGCTCGCTCGCACTTTTCTTCGTTTTGCTGCACACTTTGTTTACTGTGTCTGTTGCTTTTGTTGCTTTGGAGCTGCCTGTTTGTACACCGGCAACATAAACTGGTTTTTCGAGTTATTTATGACTTTTTCCACAATTTATTTTGCCTGCCTTTTTGGTATCTGTATCTGCTGGGTCTCCCTCTGTCTCCCTCTCTCTCTCGCACTCCTTTGTCTTTCAGACTTTTGACCTGCAAAAGAAAAGTAACTAAAAAAAAGAAGTGTTTAAAAGCAGTTTGTTGGGGGCGCTTGGGTCTCCGGCTTTGGCTTTAATTTCGTAATGTGGCGAAAGTTGAGCGGATTTCTCGCATATTGCAGCATATTTTCTGATCTTTCTTCACTCTTCTCCACCCTCCATTCTCCTCGCCCTTGCTCGCTCGCATACACGCACACACAAAGACAAAGCGCAGCGGATATGGCAAATTAAAAACATTTTCCAGTTGGGATTTAATAATAGTACGCAAAGAGCAACACACAAAAATAGTTATGATAATAGTAATGCTAATAATAATGAAATGTGCTTCGAGTGTAAAGAAAAGAAAGCGGAAAAGTGATTAAAAAAAATATGGTTGCAAAGTCAAAATAAAAATTAATGTCTATTTGTTAATTTTCAAGCTAACCAGATGTGCAATAAATGTGCTAAAATTGTGTAAAATTCAAGCCATGCAGCTAGTTAAACAATTGTAAAAAAAGCCAGCCAAAATATAAAAACACGTTCTCAAACACAACAGCATTAAATCAGCAGCAGAAGCAGCAATAACAACAACAAATAATACAACAACGTAGAGTGAACGGCCGCAGAGTCAACAACAGCTGCTTACGGTTTGACAGCCACTGGGCGTCGGCGATCCCCCGCGACGCTCTTCCTCTTCTCTTTCCACGGGATTCCATGCATGAGGCCCTTCTCGCCATCTCTTTCGCACTGAAAGCGCCGTTCTACGGAGTTCACCGGGTTAGTTTTCATAAATGTATATATTTTTCTTTATCGCGTTTCCCTTGTTGCGTTATCCACTTGTGTTGAACACATGTTAAGGGCTCAGTTTCGAATGACTCGAAACGGAAGGGTTGTGGGAACTATCTGGGAAACGCTGCGTCAGTGTGACCAGTATCGTGTTTATCGCAGAAAAGTACCCTGGAAATGCACAGATACTTCCAGTGACTAACCGTTTGTGTGGTTAAAGTCGAATAAACGATATAAATTCATTTCTCCTGATACAAAAGTCAGCTTAAAAAACCTATCTTTATTTGTTTTAAGCCGGACACTGTGTTACTTAATAATGAACTGTGACGTCTAGGCTAACAAATCAGTATTCATTTATTCGCCAAACAATGTCTGTAAATAAGAAAAGTAAACAATCGGGTCTCCAAAGTAATAATTTGCAAGTGATACGAACATTTTCTACTCTTTCATAACATTATTAGGTAGACATTTACTTTGTATACAAAGAACTTACTTTACAATTTTTTTGACGACTCACTGTCTTTGAGAAAATGCGAATGCAGGTGACTATTATGCAGGGCCACACTGTATTGACTTTTCCCGGCCTTCGGTTTGGCAATCGACTGACAGACATGCCGATTAAAGATAAATAAGAAAAAGCGTAAAAATGCAATTGCTCAAATTGCATTGGCCGCGACATTGAACTCGGCCAGAAGCTGCAAACATTGCAGCAATAAAAAAAGTCAAGAAAAAAGAAAAACGAAGGAAACCAAACTTTTGTTGGCAACGCAAACGCACGTGAGGTTTTTCAATGTCGAAAAGCCACGCCCCCGTCAATCCACTAACGCCCAACCAGAGCGGAAGGAAGGAATCAAGCGTAAATAACAGCAAAGCAGGGGTGAAGGAGACTTGTTGGGATTGGGGTTATCTCGGGGTCACTCCCACCCTTGCAAACGAAACGAAAGGTTGAGCCACGCAGGAAGAAAGCACTAGAAAGCAAATTACCGACAATTTCACCGACCACACAAACTCTCCACTATACCAACCCATACGGTCGGGGTCAGAATAATAGCCATAACAGATCAAGTTGTACTTAATATTTATTATTATAGCTAGTAAAATGGAAAAGTTCCGGTAAATGTTTACGCTAAAAAACTAGACATCTCCCAAAAAATGCAATTGTGTGAATAGTACAGGTTTAATTGTTTGAATCACTCATAACTTAAGAATGGATTAGATGAACTTAAGAAAGATATTACATTTTACAAAAGTGTTTTGGTATCAGTCTATGGTTTTTAATCAATTTCGGTTGAACTGAATTTATTAAGCCTGGAAAACCGAAACCGCACCTGAAATGTGACATTTTCTACTAGTATTCGAACACATGTGTAATTAGAATAGTTGTTTGGTGGGCATTTAATGCTGCCCATAGATAGTCTATAGCGTTTGACCTCTGTAGATCCCATTTGCATGGCTTTTGGCTTTTGCACGTGTCCGAGCTGAGGCTAAACTAATTAAGGCCTACGCCACAGAGGCACACAGATACGCAGCGCAGATGGCCCACAAACAGGATCTGTGGGTGGACAAGAAGGATGAAGAGAGGGGATTGGATTTCATATTCAATGTTAATCTAACATGCAAAGGTCAATCGGCCATTGAAGCGCCCCCATACAGACACACAACCACAACCATACGAACATACACATTACAGACATTGTGCACTTTTCAGTTAGAGGCTGTGGCGTTGAAAGACTACGTCGTCAATGGAATTGTGTTGTCTCTACCGCTGGAAGTGGAAGTGGGCTGGGTGACGTGCCAGCCCAGCCCCAAATCTGGCGGCACAGTGGAGCAATTTGATCACTGTTTATGTGAAATCAATCCACTTTTACAAGATTACATGTTAAAAATAACAATGTTTTCTCGTTTTTATTACCTTATCAAAGCTCTATTAAGTTGTAACAGTGAATAACTTTTATAAGCCCCTCTTTATGATTCAGGATTTATTAAATCGAGATGAGACTATGAATTGCTTTTTCTTTCTAATTAGTTCCATGATGCCACCCACTGTGCAAGGTGCAGTGGCGCTTGCATCTGTCTCTCTCTCCCTTCCTGCCTCCCCCTTTTGGGTTGTGTCCTCCCACTTTTGAGATGTGCTGCGCCCATTTCCCACTCTCTTTTCACACACTTGCCACTCGTTCATTTCGACTCGCTATTGTCTGACGTCGCTGCTAATCAAGGCGCGCTTATCTAGCCAACTTGTGCGTGTGTCTGTATGTGTGGGTTCTCGAGTGGGTTGTGTATGTGTGCAGCTAGGCTCTCCCGCTCTCTCCGCTTATCAGTGCTGATAGGTCAGTTGGTAAGGGGGGGTTGGGGAGATGGAGAGGAAGAAGAAAGCACGAGTGTATACGCTCATTTATGTTATGCGAATCAAAGTGCTGCCATTGTAGTGGTTTTAGTTGTTGTTTTTGCACTCTCCACTCTGCCAGTTTGGCTTTCAAAACGTCAAATGCCATTGAAAATGGATATTGACACGTTACGTTATGTCGTTATGCTGGCGTTATAGCAATTCGATTACGATTCGATTACCAACAACAAGACAGCAGCAACAACAACGATAATCGCATTAATAGCAACAATCCAAAACGCATTTGTAGCATATTGCCAATCTCTGATTCATTCATATCGCCATTAATGTGCATTTTGTTTTCAAATTACTGTGTGCATTTGAACTAAGTAATTTTCTAGATATAGATGGATTAAGATGTAGTTGGTTTAAAGATAAAGTTAAATATGTAAAAGATATTATATTTCTGATTTAATACTTCGTTCTGTAAGTTTTTAATCAGCTAATCATAAAGTATAAGTTTACAGACAAGTCTCAAAATAGAGTTCTGATTTACGAATATATCTGATATTAATTAGTATATTATAATAAATAAAAATATACAAGTATTTAATATTTATCTTATGTGTTTGATTTACCCTGTTATAGAGTATTTCCAATTCGGATGTTTGGATTTACTTGTACGCCTTTTCAATTGATTTGCATAATTGAAATTCAATTGCTCGTACTGTGGCAATTGTAATGAAATTGTTTGTTTATATAAATAGAAATTATAGCAACAAATCAATTGTAAGCTATTGGAAGGGAAAACAAGTGCTGCATAACGTCACATAAATCTCCAGCTGATAAGGCCCCTTACCAACACACACAAACGTAACATGTATGGGCACACGCACTTATCACTCGATTTTCTTTATCATTTGTTTATTTTTAAACGCCATTTGCTTTCTTTTGATTGCTTATGTAATTTCCCACCAAATTTTTTGGTGAGTACACCTTTGGGTTTTTTTTTTTGGGGCTTCTTGTTTAAGTGGCTTTTCTGGCTTTAATTAATTTACAATTATGCGAGTTAGTCACAGTTTAGGAGTCACCTTGGTGTCCAATCAATATTCTGACAAATTAGGGGAAATTCCTTTGCGGTTTCATCTTGCTGTTTTTCGTAGAGGTACACAAGAAAAAGTAAGGTTGATGTCGTACGAGAAAGATACTTTGGTTAGTCATGTGTTTTAATTAGATTTATATTAAGCCATTAAGCCAAGAATATTATACTTTTGCAGATGATCCTGTTTTGTTTTATTTGTAAAAATGTATCGACCTAAAAAATTAAAATTCGAATATTTTTTTTTCGGTGTAGTGAATGTTGTTGTCACTTATGTTGTGGGATTCTAATAATGATTTTCCGCTGTTTGCGGTTTCTTCATTTGCCGTCATCAGCACAGGTTCTCTGTGTTCTTCGTTCTATATCTCTCCATTTCCCCGCCCTTTTTTCATTGAGTCGGATTTGTGTTCAATTTACACTTGATTTATTTATGAGCCCCACACAGATACGGATAAGAATGTCCCACAGACACACACACACCCATTTATTTGGGGGCTGTGAATGGGTGAGTTTGGTAACCCACCTTGTGCATAATTTTATTTTTAGCTTATGGCTTATTTTTAATTATCGATTTTGCTTTTCTCTGCGAGCAAAGGCAGCAAACAAAATACAGAAATTGAAAGAAATGTTTGTTCTTGTTTTTTAAATTCACTTTCCTCGAAACGGGTTTTTGGCGGTATTTTATGGGGAATCTCATTTGGTTTCGCAACAAGTGTTAATTAGTTTTGATGCCGGATGTTATGTCATACTCTTATCTTGAAGAAAATGTTTAAACCAAATATTGCTTTAATGAACCAACGTCACCAATCACCAATCAAATTGAAAATGTAACAATCCTGATAAAGGATTGATATAAAGATAATACAAATACTTGCATACATTCAATTATTTTGAAAACCTGTATACATGCAGTTATCGAGTGCTTATTGAGCTGTGCTTATTAACCCCTTACTGCCAAGGAAACCGCTTTGCAAGACCCCAGCTGCGATTTCCAGCCGAGAGCCTTTTTCTCACATTCTGATTCATGAAAAAACAAGGCAATCTTTAAGAACAACCAACAACCGGCAGCGACAAAATGAGAACCCGTTTCCAGACCAGGCCACAGGCAGCAGTGGCAAGAAGCAGAGTGCCCCGTAGAAAGCCAAGAAACCAAACCGACCCCAAAAGTAATGAAAACAAAAAAAAAAAAAAAACATTACGCGGAGTCCAACCGAATAAAAATGGTTTTAAGTGGGGAGCCAGAGATATGTATATGTACCAAAGAAGTAGAGACAAACGGCGATCGATCGATGGACATTCAGCCATTTATACGTTAATACCCGTCCATATGTACACAGAGAGACACACTTGTGTGTGTATTAACATGAACCAGTTTTACCCCCAGGATATTAAGCCATAAAACAGTCAAAGCAATAACAAGAAAAGCATGAAAAATGAGACTTGCCGAGGCAATGAAATACCCTAGGAAAGTCAACCAACTAGAAATACCCGACTAATTAGCAATTGATGGATGAGAGACGTTTTGTTTTCATTTCGTAGAGATAAATGTATCATACACTTTAATTAAAAGGTGTGCTGTGTTTAATATACTTGATCAGCAGGGGTTTCTCTATCTATAGAACCAAAACAGTTGGATAATCAAGATTTGTTTTTATAATCGATTCTACAAACTATTTCCTGTAACTATACCACTTTAATCAACTTTTTGGTATACCAATCCTAGGGTGCAAGTTTTTATGCAAGTGTCCAGTTGTTTTTATTTTTCTTCGCCAGGTTTACGAAGAAGGAACTTGTAATCGAAGTAGAACTCGAACTTGTTTCTGATTCATTCGACGCCTGATCAATCCCCTTTGCTCTTGCCCACAGCAATTTACTCTAATTGTTATCGGCGGTTTTTAGTCTTTGTGATTTCTTTTCTACAGCCCCGCTTAACGGTACAATTATCGGTTGTATGTATGTTGTTATTCCATCTCTTTCGAGTTTCGCAAAAAAAGAAGAAAAAACTTGTGGGCAGATAAGATTTTCCGACTCCCGTTCGCAGCTGGCAAATAATCGAGGACCGGCAGACTGATATTAGATGAAGGCAGAAATTATGGACTTGAAACGAGTGGGAATACCTAATAATTTCCTGTTAATCGTCTCGGGTGGATCGGGAACTAAGAGTTTGGGTCTTCTTTCCATCAGATAACCAATTGAACAACAACATAGAGCTTACAAAGATTTAACTATATGTAATTTAAGCTATTTGGTTTGTATGTGATCAGCAGTGGTAATAACTTAAATATTGGCTGCGCAAGACTAAGATTGATAGGTGTAAGATTGAAATATAAAGATTCTACTATTTATTCTGATCCAGCCAACGATTAATAATTGTTTTCCAAACAATAGGTTTCATTTCTATGTAACTGAAGTTTAAAGGTAATGGGACACAACTTGACCCACTTTCCCAATAATCAGCTAAGGTTTCAAATCGATAATAGCCTTCTATTTGCTATAAACAATGTTACCTACATTTTGGTTTTACATCCTACTCTATCCAATTTGACTTGGTAATAAATCAACTTATCAAGAAGTGCGATTGTAGGCGAACTGATAATCATATCTTTATTGTATTTTCCTTTACATTGTGTCTTATTTGTCACACCGGAGTGATTTTCCAGTAATTCATTTGCGTTACATTATCTTTGGGAGCAAGACTCGTAAAACATCCCCGCACTTACAGAAGACCACTGGTAACCCTTAACCCAATTAAGCAACGATTAACCCCGACGACATTGAACTAAATTCTGCAACAATGAAAAGCATGAGAAAATAAAAGATCTTTCAGTGGCCACACCCATTCGAAACTGCAACAAAGCGCAAAACCTTTTGTCTTAATCAAACATAATTCCCTTGTCTGGCCATGAGTCACTCCACTACAATCCAATCCACTCCACTCGACTCGACACTATACTACTCGAAATGGCTGCCCCAACTCCCTAGAACCGTCATGCTTCAGTGGGCTCTCCGGACATGTGGCCATAACCAGCAGCTAGTTCTCTATTCCCTTTGCCAAGAGCCCAGGTAAACAGAAACTCACCTGGCCTACACAACTCGATTCGTATCGAATCGATTTTTGTGTTGTCTGTGCTGGGCCACACTTGAAAATGCAAAAAGTTTCTGTGTCATTGTCCTGGGTCTTTTTTTGTACGGGCACAAGAATAAAACATTTATTTATGAGTAGAGTAACGCCCACTTACGGAACGACAATATCTTTTTTGGTCGAATAGTTTTTTGAACTTTACCACCTCAATTTCCGTTTGTAAACAGTTTAGATCTGGTATACCCGGGCCTTTTTGGTCTTTCAAAATTAAATGTTGCGCAAATATTTAACCCTACAAAAGTGTATCAAGGAGGAAGAGTACGTATTTTAAACAGTAGTTCCTAACATCTGATGATAACCAAGTAGAAAAGCTTATGAAACTTAAGAATATAGCGGTTTATGGAAAATTAGGGCTATATTTTGTATTCATGTATGCTTGATAACTGATGTTGGGCACACTAGGATTCAAATTTCCCCGACTTTAGCTGCTTAAGAGTCTTCAATCCTACATCAGGTGGTTGCGTTTGCCTGCACCATCCTCGAGACCCATGAATTGTTTATTTTTATTGCAATCAATTTGTCACTAATCGATTTCCGTTCTCTTTCTTTGCAGTGGCGGTGGCCCACAAACGACAACTGCCGGTCCATCCGCTGGTAATGTGGCAAATGCCACCACAGCCCTAGCCGGTGGTAAAAGCTCAAGCAATAACATGTATTCCACCCGCCAATCTGTAAGCACCACAACCGGTGTACTTATGGTCGGACCAAATTTTCGTGTCGGTAAAAAAATTGGCTGTGGTAATTTTGGCGAATTGCGTTTAGGTAAGTACAAAATAATATATACATATAAAATAAGACAATCAATCGATTTGAATGTTAAATATCATTTGTTTACAATATACCATTTATGTAGACAGTTGTGAAATGTTATCTTCATGGTTTCTAGGTATTATTAACTAAAAGATTGAACTTCAAATTTAATTAATATGTAGATCGGTTATTTTTGGTTCAGGGGTTTTCTTTATATTTCCATCCTGACTTTGCGAATGAGCCTTTTATAAATCAATCCAGTACCTGATATTTTTTGAGAAAAGACTTCTCTTAATAATACTCGAAATATGATGTTTATAATTCCAGCCGCACTTCGTACTACCCGAGACCCCATTAACCATTTCTCTTGCCCATTTTTGCCTGTTGGCATGCAAATAATGTCGCGTTTGGGGCTTTTGGGGTTATTTTTTTCGTTGGCCACTTCCTTTCGTCGGGCATTCCTTTCCAGGTCTGTTAACCACAATGGGAACAGTTCCCCGCTCCTTTTCACTGGTGGCAAAGAGTGCACCATACAAAAAATAAACAAAAAAAAATGCCATTCCATTCCGCCATCTGTTTTCTTGGCATCGTCGTTGTCGTCATTTTGGCTTTGTTTGCTAAATGCGCTTTTATAAAGTTGTTTCATACAGGTACCCGCCCCTCCGCCCCTTGTTTATTTTTTTATTTTTTATTTTGGGGCCTGCCACTTCCTTTTGTGCATTTGTTGTCACATTGCCAACAGGTAGTACTATATAGTCTAGCTAATTCTCAGCCGGCTGTGGCCAGTGCCGCCAAAACTGTAATATCTCAGCGCCCTCAGTCTATCTCTTTCACGGCCCCTCAGTCCGTCTCTTTCAGCCGGTCTGAGCCGTGCTTTTTCTTTGTTCCACCTCAGCATCTCGAGTCTTTTTGTTGTGGGGTTTTTTCATGACTCATTAAGCCGGACAGCTTTGATAAAAAGCAAAAACAATCACACTTGAATGCTGCATTTAACTGGCTAATTCGTATTGCCTTTTCAAATCATGATATCGCACAGTTTGAGAGCCACTGCTTGGATCCACTTGGTAGGGTTCAATTAAAATAAAATTTTAAATTTGTTTCTATGACGTCGCACAGTCCATTTCATTTCGCTTATGATATCATTTTTATTAATTGTGCTCTATAAATATCTTACGCCAAGTATGTGTTTGTTGGCTCTTTCTTTTGTTATAATTCAGATTAGTGCTGACGCTGAGATAAAAGCGAAATGTTTGGGCCTTTTAAATTTGGGGCATTTTCATTTACTCGAATTGCAATCAAAATGACATAATTTCGTTTTTCATTTTGAACAGGCCCGTTTCTTTTGTGTCTTCGCCCATTTCAGAAACGAGAAGAATAAGAATATATTAGAGAGGCAGTTGGGAAACCAGAACGTTGACCAACCTAAATACTTTTCCGCCTCTTTTCTTAGCTCGTTTTTATGGGCGCCTTGCGTGGGCGTTTCTCGTTTAATTTTGGGAACTTTCGCTTTATTTTTGTTTAGCGCAGCACGCCCTTTATAAAATGTGTTTATTCTCCCCGTTGTTTTAGTTTTTGTGGGCTGTTTTATTGTTTATAGCGCGCAACTTGTTTTCAACGAATCTTTTAAGGTATGTTTTTCATTTTTTGCGCGTTTTTGTACTGTGATTAATATTGTATATTGAGTTAGGTCACGGTATTTGTTGATGATTTGCTCAGGGGTTGGGTCGCAGGGGTTTTACTCCAGCGTTTCAAGGCGTTATTATTGGAATAGGCATTTAAAAAAATATATACTTTTTATCTATGGAAAGTGCATTATCCTAGTTACTATAAATTTGTATAAAATCCTGGTAAAAGCGTTTTTCAGAGCTTTAGGTTGAGGTTATTACATTCAATAGAAATTTATAATAGTTTCCGGCAGAGTAGCAATCTAAAAGAATTGCCTTTGTAGACAAACGATTTCAAGATCAACAAATTATTGTTAATTTAGCACTTTTTCCAAAGTGTTCCAAGAAATCGGCAAACAAATGCTTTTAAGGAGGCGTGGCGGGCAAAGGGCGTTTTCTAGCATGTAATCAAAATCATGCGGCTTCCTATCGCCATGTTTATATCTACATACAAGCATACATCCATGTGTATTTGTGTGCGGCGAGTCTATCAACGTTTTAATTTTGTGTCTGTTGATAAGCAACGTCTGTCTCACCCATCCACCCACCACCCACAGCCAACTCATAAAAACCCAACCCAAGCCACCCACACATTCTCGGTGGGTTCTCTCACCGCCTTTCTCATGACATAATTTCGCACATGAGCGCACTGTTCGCTGTTGACATTTTCTCTCAGCTTCTGTCTGCGTCTCCGTCATGTCGTCATATCTGAAATGCAGTTCTCAAATTATATACGGCCTTGTTCTCAATTCCACTTCCGAACGATTTTCTCTAATCCCATCCTAAATTTGTATAAGCTATTAAAGAGTTAAATATAATTTAACTTCGGATTTAGCTCTGTTAAAAGAAATGTAATCTTGAGATCGTAATATTCGGTTTTGAAGTTGTGGTTGAATTCCAAAGGAGTTTTTGAGAACAAGGAAATATATAAGTGCTGGTTTTTACTTTTATTTTTCCCCTTTGGTTAGGTCGTCGAATGTGTTGCTTTGGTGGTGTTGGTGTCGGAGGGCGTAATGGGCGTGGCACTGCTGATAGCAGTGAGACAGGTAAAAGCGTTGAATGAATGTGCATGTAAAATTGTATGTGCGTAAAGTCTCTTCTTTTCATTAAAATTTTGGTATTGCAGTTTGGGATTTTGAATTGATTTTTGTCTTATTTTATAACTATCTTCAGAAAAAAAAGCACTAATTTATATTCTTCCTTTGCAGGCAAAAATCTTTACAACAATGAACATGTAGCAATAAAAATGGAGCCTATGAAGTCAAAGGCTCCGCAACTACACTTAGAGTATAGGTTTTATAAACTATTAGGATCACATGGTATGTAAACTATCGATTTATAACACTGCAGTCTGTTCCACGATCCAACCTTAAATTTTCCCAAAGCTGTCGTCCCACTTTACACTAACCACTTACTAACAACCAAAGACCTCGCAGGGAAGATAACTCAAATAGCTCTGAAGAAGTACAAAAATTGTACAAAAATATTTAATATTACCCAAGCCGGTCTCTTTTCCCCCAAGTCACACTCTCTCCCCACCTCTATCTTTTACTAACCTAAAACTACTGAAAATAAAATAGTTTTGCACCGTTACCACCACTTGATTAGTTTCAATATAAACAAATATATATTATCATTTTTGTATAACACTTATGGTACCTCGCAAGTGTTAAACACATTGCGAAGAAAGTATACGACGAAAAGAAAAACATGAATAGATTTTCTCAAGCATATTTTCGGAGGTCGGTCGGTGCGTGAGATGAAAATTGAAAAATAAAAAACTGTATAAACACCACGTTTTGTATATTGTACGTCTGTAGTGAAGCAGCTCTGGCTGCAACTGCAACTACTCCTATACCCGCCAATGTAAAACAGCTCGAAAATCACGAAAATCAAATCACTATATATATTCCCCACAATATATATCGATTTCTCAACTATTACCCAACTTTAAATTAATTAATTCTTTTTTTTTTGTTTCTCCGTTTTGTATTGCTTTTTCTAATTTTTTGATTTTATAAATATATTGCTCTCGTTCCTCCATTATTCATCTACTACAACAATAACTACAACACCAAAATATATTTGCTATGAATTATTGAACAAAAACACCGATAAATTGAAATTTAAACCCGAACCCGATCATCATGCGCCGCTCTCTATCTTCTATCTATATATTTTTCCCCGTGTCTGCTGCAATCAACCACAACATTACAACCAACTCGAAAATGAACTGAACTGAATTGAACCAACCTACCTGCAACCAACCAACTACAATCAACTGTTGCATAATACATTGTGATGCCATGTTGCTATAACATAATGCTATGAACCAACCCCTCACTCACCATCCCCATCAATACTATTTCGGACCCCAAATCGGAATTGGAATTGGATTCTGTGTGTATCTGAATAATTGCGATATGGAAACAATATCGAAATGCAGCCGATAACGCCCCAGATGGCATACCACGCATTTATCATTTGGGCACTTGCGGTGGCCGTTATAATGCCATGGTTTTAGAGTTATTGGGATTATCATTAGAAGATCTCTTCAATATTTGCGCCCGTAAATTTTCACTTAAGACTGTATTGATGATAGCGAAACAACTTGTAAGTGTGGCAAACCACTAAGAATGTAAAAACATCACCAAAGTTGTTTTTGGCGAAAGTAAAGCGGGTTTCACTTGATTATGATAATCACATAAATATTGTATGGAAGTAACAATTTGCTATAACAGAAAGCCAGTGCTAACTGCATTTTATGTTTTTGCTTTCCTCATTTAAAACTTGATGCTAAAAATTGTTTATTAAAGCGTCCTGTATAACAGATATATCTCGTGAAATCCGCCAGCATCTCGTCCATAAACCGATTTTAAAAATTTCAATTTATGTTTTGAACCAAAAGTGTCTCAACGGCTAAAATATAGGTTTCTTTATAGTTTTTTTTTAGTTCGTATGATTTGGAATTCACGCAATGAACGTTAGTCAAGTTTTTAGTTTATTGTAGATATGTTGAAAATATAGTAGAAGTAATAATACTTTTATGTTGCAACTTCCAATATTGTTTAACGGATCTGCAAAGAAATTATATAAACACAAAAAGCAATCCCTCAAAAGCATGTTAACAAAGAGTCGTATAGATTTTATAAATCAAACACTTATTTGTACATAAACCATTAGGAAACTTCTTCTATTGCATTTTCAAGGGAATACAACTGAAATAATGCTATTATAACAGTTTCGTTGTGTTGAACTTGTCAATACTTTACTTCACTATGTTTTCATTTACCAAACTGACTTTTGTTTTCGCTATTTTTCTCTTTGATAAAAAAGTGCATTGTATATAATTTAACCAAAACTACTAACACAGTTGCAAAAGATCTATCGAACTAGTTATCGGAATTCAGAGAACCCAAAACCTGTTATACACACCACACACACAACCACCAAGGAAAACTACTCTAGTGTTAAGAATTAGTTGTAAGCACACAAAGAACTGTTATACCCGAGTAAAGTTCTACTGGTTAGGTCAATATGAGGTACGGAGGAGGAGGATGAGTTGGTAGGTGAGTTCCAGTCTCCAGGTTGGTCGTCCAGCAGGCTTTTCCTTGTGTATATGCTTCGAGAATCTCTATTTTTGTTGTTCTTGTTGTGTTTAGCACAGTTGCCCGATAATGTATTTATATTTTCGCTCGATCTCTGTCAAATGAAAGGTGGTAATATCGTAAGACGCGCTACACTAACCTCCAAAACATGAGCCGTAACTCCATTGCTCTCTACACATCACTCTCCCACTCTGTCTCTCTCCTTTTTGTTGTGTCCGACCCGTCAAATTAATAGAAATGCAGCTTAAAAAAACAAAATGATATTGAAAAAAAAAATATTTTCTATTTTGTATCTCTCATCTTTCTTTCTTCTCTCTCCCATCTCTCTTTTTATCTCTTGTTCACCAATTTTTTGCATAAATACAACAAAAACAACAATGAACAACAAATCGAACAACCAAAAAACTTTTGTGCGCTGTCCAACACTCGAATAAATAATAAACACTCGCTCGCTTCCTCAAAACAAAATTCCATGTCAACCCAACCAACCAACCAACTGAAAAAAAAAATCGACCACTCAATCAATCAATCGATCGATCAATCGATAGCAGAGGGTGTACCAGAAGTATATTACTTCGGCCCCTGCGGCAAATACAATGCTCTTGTTATGGAGTTGCTTGGTCCATCACTCGAAGATTTATTCGATATTTGCGGCAGACGTTTCACTTTGAAGAGCGTTCTTCTGATAGCTATACAATTAGTAAGTACTACCACAACAAAATCCACCAAAAACCAAAGTTAAACAACGCAGCAAAATCAACAGATATCTGTAATCAGCAAAGTTTTCCCAAGCACGCGCATAACTCTGCACATAATCACATTCACAACACTGGTAGACGAGGCCAAAATTAACCAACACTAGTACTAAGACTCAAGATCAAAAGCACTTTTTGTTTGTTTTGCGTGTGTGTGTGGGTTGGGGTGTGTATCTGCGTTTTTTATTAGGGTTGCTTGGTTAAAATTTAGCTTATAGTTTGAACTATTTTATTTACTCTTTATCTGATGTTCATTACTAACAAGAAACCAATAGGTTGCTGCCTCTCTCTATCTCGACTCTCTCCGACTCACTATTTCTGTCACAAATTGTTGCCGCCTGGTTGAGGTTTAATTTGTACCTAAGTTCATTCACTTCAATTGCTTCTCTACACAAATAGTTCTTAAATATCAGAAACAAATTTCAGCCAAACGAAAAACAAAACGTTCATTGTAACTAAATAAAATTTGCATGTACACATAAATTTGTAGATGAAATTAGATAATTTTAAGTTTTTTATATTTATGATTTATCAGCGAAAACTATCAATAAAAATCAAATGCCATCAAAGAACCAAAAAATTTACAGCGAAAAACATATACAGCTAGTTGAGACACTACAGAAAAAATGTAATAATGTAATTTAAATTCGAAATTCGAAAGAAAGAGAGCATTTCATAGGCAAAAAGCAACTATTAAATGCTCTTTCTGTCTCTGAATAAAAAACAATTTTCTAATATATTTTTCCTCATAACAAATGCAGCTCCACCGGATCGAATATGTTCATAGTCGGCACTTAATATATAGGGATGTGAAACCAGAGAACTTTCTCATCGGCAGAACGTCAACAAAACGTGAAAAAATTATACATATAATTGGTAAGTTCATATTTCATTCTAAATTTAAATCTAATCATAATTTTTCTAACAGATTTCGGTTTGGCCAAAGAATACATTGATTTAGATACAAATAGGCATATACCATATCGGGAGCATAAGTCCCTAACTGGAACGGCACGTTATATGTCAATCAACACGCATATGGGACGTGAGCAATCGCGACGCGACGATCTGGAGGCATTGGGTCATATGTTTATGTATTTCTTAAGAGGTTCACTGCCGTGGCAAGGCCTGAAGGCTGATACACTCAAGGAGAGATATCAAAAAATCGGTGATACGAAACGAGCAACGCCCATCGAGGTGAACTATACGCAGCAATCTGCACTCAACTCCTCTCAATCTCTGGGACAATAAATAATGTCTTTATTCCCTGGCAGGTGCTTTGCGATGGACATCCGGAAGAGTTTGCGACATATTTGCGTTATGTACGGCGGTTAGATTTTTTCGAAACTCCCGACTATGATTTTCTGCGAAGACTGTTTCAAGACTTATTCGATCGTAAGGGATACACCGACGAGGGCGAGTTCGACTGGACAGGGAAGACAATGGTGAGCTATCGTTTCGTTGACTCCATTAAACTTACACTATTTAAGACATGCAAAAAACACTTAACCCAACGTTAACTCCGCCGAGTTCTAAAACTTAACCCCAATCTTATTCATAGGAGACATAGTGAAATGCAAGCATTTAGATCTATAGAAAAAATGTATTCATAACAATAACATATCCCGAAATCACTATTAAGTTAATTACCATGTAACTCTTAATCATTTCTAATGATGGGAAGCATATCGAGCATGACAATAGAACTCGATTGACAGAGCCACATATAACAAGCACCACCGCCGCCGTAACCCCGAAACCACAGTGAATGATACGAATTAACCCAAATTAATGCAAGCCGCATGGGATTGTCAGTTGGCGACCATATAACCAAGCACTAACATTGCAGGATCCTCAATGTACCGCCATTGGTAGCCTGCACTCGCCGCTGCTGTACAGAAGATGGGGCTCAGTTTGTTCTAAAGTTTGATTGATGTTGCCAATGGCATATGTTATATCTTTCCGCCTTCAATGACTTGAATGAAATATATATTTTTATAAAGTGTCCCGACCCACCTCCAAGAAGGATCTTAAATTAAAGAGCAATAGAAGAAGTAAAAACTAAACACACAAACTCCGAAAAACACTGTGTTTTAATGTCTATAGCTTCCTCCTTTTAAAGACTTTCTATGTTTTGATTTTAAGACCAAGGAACAGCTGGACCAAATGAAGGTCATAAAGAATGCACCACCATCGCATTTGGCAAAAAATAAGTCTGACAAGGTACCGAAAATGAAAAAGAAATCCAGAAATATATATTTTATTTCAAATCATAAACAGTGTTGCATAGCAATGTATGACGCTCAATCGCTCACTCAGTGTTGGTAAATGCTTGTTCTCAGTGTATAAGCTCGTTGCTTTAGGTGGTTAAGCTAATGTATTTTAAGAACAAAATAATGAGACTAACTTAAGCAACCAATGATGCCATTTTTTTAACAGCACTTTTCTTCTCTCCTTGATCTCTTCTCTTTTTTCGGTTGTCAACACCGTTTCATGTGCGTGTAACTCTGTGTGTTTTTAAAACAAACTACTGCATCATCTATATATAAACATATATTATCAAATTTAAAAAAATGCATTCACATCACTGACATAAAACAGTCAACGCCCGTCGGATCTCTGCAAACTGGCCATGAAGTCATCATTTCACCAAATAAAGATCGTCATAATGTTACGGCTAAGGTAAAGTATACAATAAACAATGTTGTACTATCGCAGTCCGAAAAGGAAACAAATATTTACTCTCTATCACTGACAAAATTTAACTCGATTACGTTTCAATAATCTTTAAGATAAAACAGTTATCCTTGTTTAAACTTAGCTTTAGCGAACCTTTTTTCTCTTTGGTTACTCAGTTCTTTACTTCTAACATCCGTTCTTAACTGCTCTTCTTTCTCTACTTATGCTCAACGCTTTTGTTTTGATCCCACTCTTCTCCCCTCAACACAATATTTGGTATATAACTATAGGATGTTTCATATTTTGATTTTGATGACGAAGTTGATAATGAGAATGAAGAATATATAATACTTCAGGTTAGACGTTGTAGACTTGAAAAATATCTCTGTACTGGTTAGTGTGCAAAAAAGTGCTCTTCTACTCTTTATAAACACACACACACGAGACTGGCTGTAAACTAAATTGCTAGGCTAAGTTGGCTTTAACATCTTGGTTTTTCTTTTGTTAAAACTGTGGTAGTATAGGGCTATGATCTCTAGAAACCGATTTCTAATGACGGCATTTATATTCTGAAACTGCTACTTGTAGGAGCTCGACTAACTTAGTTTTAAAACTGCACAAAATTGCTTGGAATCGATCGGTGAACGGGACTCGTAGAGTAATTTGTTTCTAACTTGGTCTAACCTGCGCTCTTAAATCTGCCCTTGGTTACTTTTGATTTATTTTCGGCTTTAATTGTTTACCGTATGGATTACAAAATCTTTTTTTCGGTTGTACTGTAGCACACTCTTGACTTGCTTTAGTTTTATTTAGACTCACACACTCTACCTAAATTAAACACACTCGCATATAATATTAGAGCTGTCCGTCTCTATGTTGTACAAAAAAAAACCAAAAACATTTTTAAAAATTAAAATTAATTATTGATAAATTTGCATAAATCCGTTTCCAACAATTGCTCGCTCGCTCGCAAACCGAACTGAACTGTACCCAATCAAAAACAAAAACAAAAAATAATCAAAACCAACTGTCCAAATCCTTCACCACCACTTCAACCACCACCACCATAACCCGCCCAACCACAGACAAATGCCAAAGGAGGTGTTGCTGCGTGGCCTGATGTGCCAAAGTCGGGGGCAACACTGGGCAATCTAACGCCGGCCGATCGGCATGGTTCAGTGCAGGTAAGTTCGCTGCGACAACCGGCCAGTGTTGTACAAGGTTTTTTCTTTTCCTTCCTTTCCGTTCTGTTTAATTTCTGTTTTGTCGCTCGCTCGCCCGCTCAGTCTTCAGTCTGTAATTGTACATACATGAACAAAAAAAAATGAAGAAAAAATCGTAGCAATACAGCTCGTGGTCAAGACATAGCATAAATATAAATAAAACACATTTGTATTCGCCTCATTATCTTATTGAAATCTTGTTCGATTGTAATTTTGTACATAATTGCCTATATATATTTCCTATAATTATTACAACGAAACATTATCTATCGCAGACTGTTATATTTTTGGCCTTTTCAATTCTAATGTTTTCACTTGATTTACTCTACATTAGCTCAACAAGGTACTGAACAATAATCTCTCCTCCCAACGTGTGTTATTCCTACTCCTCTCCACTATAGTTTTGCCCACTTCCGTTCGGTTTGATTTTGTTTCTTCAACACGTTTTGTTAGTTTTCTTCTTGGGTATTTTTTCTCGGATCTTCCTATTATATTTTTGAACCTAGACATTTTCTTCGATAATAGTGGAAATAATTGATGCTTGAGGATCCTAATAGATAAACTGCATGAGCGAAGAAGAAGAAACGTAGCCTTTGTCTTTTTGAGCACGGTACTAAAATGCATGATTCAGCTGGGCATTAACCAACACTAGTCTAGCCGTAACTGTACTTGACTGCATGCCACTCAAAGACATACACTACTCTAGAGAAGCATGTTTCACATAACACACGCCCACAGTCGTAGATCAATAATTTCGAGAATTCGGCTGGAGGAACATTTCTCATAAAGCTACGTCATTGGCATGCCTTACGAGTCGGAAAGACCACTTTTGATGTATCGAATCAAAGTCGAAACCAAAACACAACTTATTACAGAGATTGCCTGAAGATTCGAGCTCGGATGATGATAGCCCCTTTGATGCTTACTATGAGAAAAGTGACCCCGAAGACGACCCTAAGAAATAAGATACCAAAAACAACGACCTACCAACACTACTATTCTTTACTTTCTAATACCACAGCAAGGGCTTCTACTAAAATCTAAGCGACATTATCCTTCCTTTCCTTTTACTTGCGTTTTACAACACTATCGCGAGGTATTTGAATTATAAACCGTCTGTCCTAATATTCTGGTCTTTAAATTTGTCAGTGCGTGTCCTGAAGCCATTCAACATCTATATGTGCGTGTGTGTTCTGCGAACGAGTCCTGACAATCTAGGCAATCTCCGTTCTAGGTTGGGCGATCTGTTCAAAACCTTTATAAAACAGCTTCATTTAAAAAGGCATTGAATATCAAAATTTTTTATTCGTAGTCTTCTTGGATTTGTAGTGTGCCGAAATAGTCCTTGTTGTGTGTATAACAGTTTCGTTCTGTGTGATGTCTGTACACCGCCATTCCAATCGATAATTTTTGTATCGACTGTATTTTAACTGGTTCATTTTTGATTAGTGAAAAAAAGAAAGCGGTGTATATCGTTCAATTATGTTTAATCACACTTACTGTATATAATTGGTACTATATGTTTAGTACAAAAGTTGATGGCGAGTGGAGACTAATACTAAAATTTATCCATTCTTTTTCTTTGTTCTTTGTCATTCCTTTGCAGGTTGTGAGTTCGACGAATGGCGAACTAAATCCGGACGATCCCACGGCCGGACACTCAAACACGCCCATCACACAGCAGCCGGAAGTCGAAGTGGTCGATGAAACAAAGTATGTGTTACTTAGACGATCCATTAATCGGTATATCGATATGTAGCATAGCAGATAGACGTGTTGCAAAATAGATTGATTCCATGTATAGACAAAACTTTGGAGAAAATAAATTAATGTTAAAAACAAATGAGCAGCTTTATAGATATATTATGAAGATTAGTATAGTGATATCTTGTGATATATAGAACAATTTCTTAATAATCAAGTTTTTAAGATCAAAGTTTTTCATTTAATATTAAGATATTGAAAAAGCTAACTAAAAAATGTCAGGAGTAACTATAAAATGGTTGTAATTTGAATAGATATATATCGATACATTGATTAACAGATCCTCTAGATATATAGTGAATTTTTTGCTTTGTCGTTTTTAATGCGCAACTTCCGTTTTCCGTTCTCTCTTTCTCTCTCTCCCCCGACCACTCCACTGCCACTGCCTCTGCCTCCGCCTCGCCTACGTCTCCCCCTCTGAATCCGTATCCGAATCCGTATCCGTATCCGTCTCGTTTCTGTCCCTTGGTTAACTGTCTCCAGTGGTTCCTTATATTCCAGATGTTGTTGTTTCTTTAAACGAAAGAAGAAGAAATCGACGCGCCAAAAATGACTAGACGGTGTACAATGTAGTCCAGAACGCGAGGCAGTCACCCTGCTGCGCGCCACTTCACATTCAAACTCACGGGATAGCGTATTGAATAATCCGAGTCAGGATTATATCCAGCAGGCAACGTCGCAGCACACGTTGCGTTATCCTCCATCCGCGTCGATGTTGACGCCAACACCAACTACAAACACACCGACACTTCCGTTGTAATTTATATAAATATAAAGCCAGATGCAGAATGCAAAAAGCAACAAAAAAATATAATATATTAAATCAAACAAAAAACAAAACCCCAACAACAACAACAACAACAAAACAAAAACAAAAGAACCCCCGTACACATTAAATACACTAAAAAACAGTAAAAACAAACAAAATGAAACCAATTTTGATTAATTATTGTAATGATTGTATTTTATTATTATTTTTATTATTTACCAATTTTGCGTTTATTATATAAATTATTATAATTATTAATTATATTATTAATTAATGCTATTATAAATAAAAAAGAAAACAAAATTCAAACGTAATTCAAACCGACTAGAAATGACACGGCAATTCAAGCAAGAATCCCTCACAACCTAGGCAGCTCCTCCCGTCGGTGTCTCTTGTGAAGGAATTCGGAAAGAAAGAATGAAAGAAAGCTCCCCATTACCACTACCAATACCACACACCCCTCAAAACCCTATTGCTCTTAACTGACGGAAACTTAAACACACAAAAAACCACTTAAAGCATATTTATATATTATAAACATATATTAAAAGAGACGAAAACAAAACTAGTGCAGCATCATTTAATGAGAGAAGGAAGAAAACATATTTATACGCAACCAACAAACTTGTAAATTATAATGAAAGAAAAGAAAGCGAAAATAAACATCATTTTTTAAACTATTTAAAATAAATATATGTATGTATGCAGCTATATGAAACCAACTTAAACATAATACGTGCACCATTGTCAGACAAATAGCAAACCATTTTGGCATTCTGCATACTTTGCATTTCATTGTGGGCGACATTCAAGGACATTCTACTTTGATCATTCATCTTCGATTAACTTTAATGCATAATCACAATGTGCAATGTAGGAATTAAATAAAAAATAGTGTATGTCTTCTTGCAGGAAAATTTACTATGCTTCCAGATCCAACAAATGGGAATTAAAAATCTTCAATAACATACAGAAAAATATTCTAAATAGCAAAATTGTTTTGGTGTTAGACCCAAAGGTAATACTTGTTTTCTTGACGCCCTGAAAATGGTATATTGATGTGATTTACTTTCACTGTCTTACACGTTTTTGAAAATTGTATAATTAAAATTGTCAATCTATTGTTTTTGTTTTTCACAATAGCCTCTGAAAAACAAAATGTGTTGACTTTGCTGATGATATTATTTGGTATTTGTCTGATAATGGCTGTACGTATGCAGCTATATGATGTATCAGATATACAGTAAACGTGTATGAATCGTCACTCAGCGTAGGCAGCTTGGTTTAGATCTGTTTTGAATGCACTTTTCTAATGCTAATATGTACATATATACACACAAGTATTTTGATATATATACACGTCTATGTATCGGATAAATCAAAATGTAGAAATCCCTTTTGGTAGTCGAATTAATTTGGAGCATTTATTTTTGAATCGTTTCCTAGGTAATTTTTCGTTTATGATGTGCGAAGTTAGCGGAATAAATTTGTTAGGGAACTCCCCACGTTTCCGCACAGATCAATCACTTGATAGGTAAATACTAATGTACTGAGCCATTTCTTTGATATTACGTGATATGAGTACTAAACTACTACTAAAAAGAGTTGCCTGCAGCTATTCCCACTTCTCCCCTTCCCAAAACACACATCTCCGACTCTGAACGAATTTGATTTCCTCTACACAACACCTCCATGAAACGAGAAAAGTAATGCTAAAATCAAGAAATCGTATGTGGAATATATATATTTTAAACAAATTTTTTATACTTATTACAAATATACATATAACAAGGAGAACAAGAATAGCATTAACTATACAAGAACAATGCAAATCTGTCGTGTTTTTTTGCAATCTTTCTAGCATATAAAAAGTGCAAAAAAACAAAAAAAAAACCTTAAAAACAGCAAATCAAATTTCAAATTTTACATGAATAACATTGCATATACAATTAACCCAAATTTCCTGTATAGTTAAAAAACTAATTTGTATTATATATGACATATTAAAGATACACAAACAAATTACGCTAAAATTGATATTTCTATGACGAAAAGGAATCCGAAAACCAACAAAACCGCACTAGTTTATACAAAGTAAAATATAAAAAAAATTATACATACATACATTATGTACTTTAAATGTTGATAAACAAAAAAAGAACAGAAGAATAACCCATGCATTGATTTATGTATTCAAGAAAGGAAATTTACATACATATTTGCGACACAAAGAGGGCAGATCGAAGATAACCAAGATAAAGCGTTTAACGGTTGGCAAGCAAGCAGTGCACGCAGGCCTTTTGCTATTTGCAGGTATAGCAGTTAACATTGTTAACTGCGGCAAAGCAGTTTTAATACAAAAGTAAATCGAAACAATTTAATTCTAATAGAGCGATACAAAATAATAAATAACGCGAGTGAAGGAGTACTCAGAAATATTTTCCAACAGGAGTGTTGTAGGCATTATATCGGTTGCGAACGCGAATAAAGTAAAATAACAACAGAAATATTGTGTAAAAATGATTTATTATTAATGTATAAGTATAACGGCAACAACAAATGATAACTTAAAACGATGTAAGCAAACCAAGGAGAAAAACAACCAACAAAAGAACGAACAAAAAATATGAAAATAACAAAAAAACAAGAAAAAATTGAAACCAAAATAAATGAAAAATTATTGAAAAAATGAATTGTGTTTTTTCCATATTTGGTCAGCTACTTAAGCTAACTAATGGAAATGTTTATTGTTAAATAAATTATGAGAAATTAATAGGCTAGAAAAAACAAAAGAGTTAGTGTGGTTGACTGTACTAATTGGCAGATCATGTGCCTCTAACAGTCACCTCACGATCCGTCCACGCTCCCAGCGGAACTTACTCATTTCACAAACACGACTTAATGGCATCTGGCGCCTTATTTCATGTCAATTTTTACAGTTCTTGAGGAAGCCAGAACAGACATATCAATGTGTTTATTCGGAAATAAAAAAAATTTCTACAATTTGTTATACCATTTCGTTTTAACGCTTAAAGTTCCCCAGATAAAGAAATCAGAGATTTTGGTTGATATTTTAATACTCCCGCTCTTGATGTTTTTAAATTATCAAAGAAAATCCTACAATAACCATATTTTTCGAAACTATTTCTGCTTAAAAGTATATTGCAGTTTTTTGTTATAAGAGGAAGTGTGGCAACCCTGGAAAAGGCTTATACCGAGAACCGTTAGTTATATGTGTTACCAATTAGCCGGGACGCAAACCACAAAGCAGGAGCTTTTGCTTCCGGCACCAAAGTGGCGGCAAAGTAAAAGTTGCGATCCTACATCTTGGCTAAGGTCAGGCGCCTTTTAATGCTGGCCAAAGTGAACGGATGCAATTACTCAATTGCTCTGGCCTTTGTGCATTGTGTTTAGATATAGATATATATGTATATACATAAATCTGTATGCTTATGCTTGGGCTCCAAGACAATTAGCGCTATTGCCAAACGAACAAGAGGCCCACAGGTGAACGCTCGCGAGTGGGAGAGCGAGCTTTAAAAGGGTCTCTGTGTTTCTTACCTGCTTAACCTGCTGCTCACGTCGGGTCTTCGGTAGTGGGAGCATTTGGAATAAAAAGAGAGCTGGAGCGTCGAGCCCGCGCAAGATATTCAAGCGAACTACCAAATCCCGACTCCGTCAGTCTGCGAGGTCGCCTCAAGCGTTCAACACCTGTGCGCTAAAAAAACTAGAAACAAAAATATACATAAATACCCAACCCAACTCAACAACCGATCAGTACTACCAATTAGCATTAGCAGGCTCTTAACTCATCAAAAGTGAAAGAAAAGTGGCTGAATAAAGTGAAAAGTTAAGCGGTATGCAAGTGCAGAACCCAGCCCAACCAGATGAGCCCAACCCAACCCACAACCCAGTCGATTGAGATTCCAGCGCAACGCATGCTGCTGTTTTAGCCAAGAGAGTTGCTTGTTTTTGGCCATAAGTGGGCCGAGAGGAGGAGAGTCGTCTGGAGTGTTTTAGCTGCTTCGAGAGATCGATCAGTGGAAAACCAAACAAACAAAAAGAGTTAAATCGAAAGCAATCAAAACAAAACAAAAGCGGCTGCCGATCAAGATGAATCAAACGCAAATGAATAATTTCCTCAAGTGCTTCCTGCAAATCGATGAGCCCGCTGGCCGTTGGACAGCACGTCACGAGGGGGAGGACGACGATCACGATCACGACCACGACCACGACCATGATGAGGAGGATGAGGATGGAAGTGGGGTACTGGTAGCCAAGGTCACCGCCATGGTGGTGCTGTTCTGCGCCAGCGCCATCTGCGGCTCCATTCCCTTCCTGCTGAACCGCTGCTACCGGTGGACGGAGAGCCAGACGAATGCCCGCTCGCCATTGTGGTCAAGTGTCTGCTGTACTTTGGAGGTGGTGTCCTGCTGGCCACCACCTTCCTGCATCTGCTGCCGGAAGTCCAGGAGGTCGTCGAGGAGCTGCAGGAGTGCAACATTATTGGGGAGCTGACCTTTCCCCTCGCCGAACTGCTCATGTGCTGCGGCTTCTTCCTCATGTACTTCATTGAGGAGGCCATGCACACGTATGTCCATCACCACCAGAAGGATAAAGCCGGCGCCGCCTTCGAGCGAGGTCACAGCATCCGGAATAGTCACCTGATGAAACCCAACAGCGAGGGCACCACCACCACTCCAACTGCTCCACCGCCACCTTTGCCGGCCCGCCGAACTGGGAACCTTGTCGGTCCAGAATCTCCTGCAGAGCGATCTGGAGCAGCAGAAGTTCGCCTCCAAGCCACAGAGCCAGGCCAATGGACATGCGCACAACCACAGTCATGGTCATGGTCATGGACATGGTCATAGCCATCTGCCAGTGATCGCAGAGGATGCCTCCGCCGGAGACATGCTGGCCTCCTCGCTGCGAGGACTCTTCATTGTTTCCGCCCTCTCACTCCACGAACTCTTCGAGGGCATGGCCATTGGCTGGAGAGCTCCGCCAGCTCGGTGTGGTTCATGTTTGGTGCCGTCTCCGCCCACAAACTGGTCCTGGCCTTCTGCGTGGGCGTCGAACTGATCGTGGCCCGCACTCGGATGACCCTGGCCGTCCTCTATGTGCTGACCTTCGCCGTGGTCAGTCCATTGGGTATTGGCATTGGAATCCTAATCAATCACGGCCAGGAAACGACTGGACCCAGTCTGGTCTCGGCCATCCTGCAGGGTTCGCCTGCGGCACGCTCATCTACGTAGTGTTCTTCGAGATCCTCTCCAAGAATCGATCTGGTCTGCGCGCCTACTTGGCCCTGTTCGTTGGCTTCCTGGTCATGTTTGGACTCCAGCAGTTGAGTAAGTACCATCTTTACATTACCATATTTATAAAATTATAGTCCCGAAATCAGTTCTAAGCAAAAACCCATACTATAGTTAAAATATTTGTGGAAAATATGGTAGCTGTAGCCTTAGAAGTTTTTGTCTGAGTTGGTTCCTAAAGATTAGTAGAAGAAGGAAGAAGGGCGTTTTAATATTTTCAAAATAGAGTTTACTCAATTTACTACCATAGAAAATTGAAAATTATGAGCACTTGTCTCTTAAAATTTTTCTCATTACCGTAAGTTAAGGTTATGACGAAAAAAAAACCGTGGAAAATTAGTGTTAATTTATAAACATAAATCCGGTTTTCTAAAGGTACTACAATTCATTTACATGTGTAAATTAAATTAAATTTCCACAAACCTTAGTTTGAATGTTGATTTAATCCTTCCAAGCATTTACTGATTTTTTAGTTACCAGACTTAGGGGTAATTAGTAAGACCCGTCACCGGGTCTGTCAGCTGAGATTCTTCAACCGGAATCGATTCGGGTGGATTGGGAACAGGTTCTATATAGCTGATCCGCTGGACGCTGCGTGGTTGGCCTTGTAACTGCTGCGGTTTATTTCGCATACCCACATTTAGACGGTTTTATCTGGCTGTCTGTTTGTGTACCTAGCAAACAGGTGAAATAAAAATCCCGTCCCTGTCATGAAGTCATCTCGCAAAATCCGGGGGTTGCCCATCGAAAAAGCACCGTGAAAACCGTATATGAAATTCGTATGATGAGCACGGGATATAAAATTCAGAAAAAACGTTTACGCCACAAATATGTGATTAACCAAAGTCGGATAAGTAAATGTATGTGGCTAGATAAGGCGGGACGAAACGATCATAAATCATTACTTAGATCAAGGTTATTGAAATGGTTTTCAGTGGTAACGACTTTCCCAGCTACCGTGACGAAATGTTTGGCAATCGAAGGGAAGCAGGTGTAAATCACCATGTGGAAATAGGGTCAGGTCTAACCGATAAGGATTGGCACACTTTACAGCTTAGATTGTTCTGCCGCTGGTTAAATAGATCTTGTTACTAATTGAGTTCAACCTATTTTCGTTACAGCTTCTAGTGGCGGACATGGTCATAGCCACAGCCACAGCAGCTGCTCGTCGACGGAGGACGCACACGAACACCAAGAGACTGAGACCAGGTCGAGCTCGGGTCACGCCCATGATCATGAGCACGGCCAGGATCACCCACCGCACCACAACCACGCCGAGGAGCTGGCCACTGTCCACCAGTACGAGCAGCAGCTGCAACTCCTGAGGCAGGTCACCCAAAAGCTGCTTGAAGCAAACCCCAAGAAGGAAGCCTAGATTGTAAACTGCCCAGCAGAGATTTGATCTAATTATTTATATGTATTTATGTAGAAATAAACTGTAAAAATACTATAGTAAAAGTAAAACCAAATTATATAATTTACACCATTATTGGTCATTAATTATGGTCATTATTATAATGTTAGGGGATTGTTATACCTATTAAGAGGTTCAATCTAAAGAGGGCCTTTTGGATTCCTAATATCTTT